ACCAATATGAATCTCAAGGCTACCATCACTAGAGGATGCCCACCAAACCATTAGGAGAAGGCACCGATGTTGCTTCGAGCACCAGTAGTGGTTCACTTCTGCAAGAGCGCCAGTTCGAGTGCCGTTAACACGACTCATCTCCGCCGAACAAAATGTCATCGAAAGAAATTACCGTAGGAAAAATAGAAATGAGAAATTTAAATTTAACATAAAGCTGGAAATGTGCCCAGAACACTCCGCTGCCCAATCTCTGTTATTCTCATTCCTCGCAAGAGGGAGCCGCTTATGTCGATGATATTGAGTCAGGCGTAGTGTCGGCTTTATTTATTGTCGAACTATGTGGTCCGATATTTTCAACATACGAGACACGGTCCATTTCAAAACGACAATCCCGCAAGCGACAGTCAATTCATAGGCAACCTTTGTGGAACTCGATGCCAAAATGATTACACAAGTTGGTTTCTGTACCACCTTCTTCTACAGAACAGTTTGAGAATGATTCTTGATCACAGTTGCAACTGTACTCCTAGGAATATTGGGTTCCTTAGAGATTTGGAGATCACCCTTGCCAAGAAGAAGTAACGCTTCAGTTCGAATCCAGTCTTCGTTTGTGAAACGCGTATACTTCACATAATACGTGAGTACATGCAAACTTAAAAAGCAGGAAAAGAAAAGTCGGAAAAATGAATATCTCAAGTCGTCCAATCTATTGTGCACCGCCAAAAAATCAATATTTCACTCTAAAAATTTTCAAAGACACTGTATCTAACTGAATATTGTGTCAACATTATTTATCTACTTCCCCAGGAAATATATCAACAGCAGAATCAATAAAAGTTTCGGCCTCTCTCAAAAACTAAGTTTTTTATAGGGTGCAATCTATTGTGCACAGCGGTGTATTGTAGGGGGATGGGACGCGACCATATACGGTTGTGGAAAGGAAGTTAAACGACTGATAAGATCCTATAAGAGGCGCTAAACACAAATTTCACGAAATTCATAGTGCGCTTCGCAGCAGTCGTCAGGAGCTGATTTTGGGGCATGATATAGGGGGTGGGACGGGAACATATTTGGTGGGGGTCAAAAAGTGATAACGACTGATGAGGACGTATAACGTAAGAATAATGTATGCTTCTAAACCGGAGACTCCGTAAGCAGCCAAACTAAATTCACTTCTATCGCGGTTTTCATCGTTTCAAACTCCCATCTCGACCCTTTACATCTGTCCATTTGAAACACATCGTTACGGTTACCGCCTCCCTGCACCAACGCCCCCTCCCTCTATTCGGATTTCGGTTTGGCCCCCCCCCCGCGCATATGCTTGTTTGAACTTATGTTCATTAATTTCGCTCAGTCAGGTTTTTGTTTCAGTGCGAATCCATGGCCAAAATGGACTGGTGTCATGCATGGATATGAGATTGAATATGTATTTGGTGTGCCGATCTATAATGAAAGCGCCAAGTACACGAAACGAGAGCAAGTCCTGTCAGAGAAAATAATTCAATATTGGAGTTCGTTTGCCACGACAGGGTTAGTGCGTCAAGTAATTCAAATTGACCGTTCCCGTGAAAGCATTATTTTAGGGTTCCTCGTCTGAAAGATGCTAAATCAACCGATATCTGGCCAGAATATGACGGTGTCAACAACACGAGGTGAGATAAGGGTGCCGGAAATCACTTCTCTAAAGTCGAAGTTTGCGGAGAAAGGACAGCCCATTTAAAATCATGGTAGAAGTGGCCAGTGGTACCGAGATGAAGAAAATGCCATGAAAAACGGCCCAGAAGTCCAAGAAATACAACCCCTTCCTTGCCCGTTGATTTCCGCACTGATGCGACTCTCATCGTGCTGCCCTCTTCAACGCTAACGCTCCCTCTCTGCCAAACGGCTAGACGTGCAGCGAGTGGTTTGCCGCTCGGAGGGCGTGTCACGCCGATAGCGCCTCGCGGAGGGACAAGGTAGATCGCTGGAGACATTTGCTGTGAATTGCGTGTCGGTCCGCACCTTTAGGAGGTTTACCTGTCTTTCCACAAGGTAAGTTTACCCTACCTCAACCTTCGCATTTATCGCATAATCCTCCCTGAATGTTACCAAACTCTCTCACTTTCGAGCATTAACTGAGCCACTCGTTGTGTGAATCAAATGCGAGTCAGCATAACAAATCCAGTCGTGAGAGGAGGTAAAGTATGTGGCGCAATCCGGAGATAAAACTCATTAGCGTAACTATTTCACTTTTTCCATCCAGTGTTCCTTTGTTTATTATTATTCTCCACTTGTTTTTATTCGTTATTTTATCTTGACAGGTGGATGTATCTAAAAGGTGGATCACATGTAAAACCAACCCCTTCTCGGAAAAAGGTGGAATGTGATTTATGGAGGACAGCTAAAGACATGGAGTACCACGCTTACAGTAGGCCTAAGCATTCCTTTGCATACTCTTTATGAGTTGTTGTACAATCTTTTTCAGAAGCCGAGTTGCTGCTTTCGTCAGCCTTCCGAATGTCGCTGATTTCGGTTTTACTCGTATTAATGCTTTCATAGCCCAAGTACAAAAAATCACTTCAAAGCTTCACACTCCTCTACGATATCGGTTCTATTATGTTATCAGAGAATCTCATTTCCTATTCATATCGTGCTGTGATTACTTGAATTTGAATTACTGTAATTGTTCGTAACAGAACAATCAGTTTCTCAGAGGTTCTAGTTTCTAAAATTAGCAATTAAGCGTTAGTCATTGCAAGCTTTTAAGAAAGTAGGACAGGATAAAAGCCATGTTTGCTCGGTCGCTCGTAATTGGGCATTTCAAAATGTTGCGCAGAAATAAGGTTAGTATAGTAAGTGGTAGCACGGTAGATGAGAAAAGTTTGAAAATCGCAAGAAAACATACTCAAGTGGGAAGTTTTGGATATTTTACGGAATCCGCTTTATCCCATTGCTCGTACATACTATCGCAACAGGTTCTTTAAAAGGCACACTACAGGATCATCCTGGTATAATTTCGCTCGAAAATAGAAGCAGAGGTACGAAGAAGATCGATAGCGAGGAAAAAAGACCGAAACTCTCAAAAAAATAGGATCGTCTTCTTTTACGTGGGGAGGGTCCAAGACACAGACACTGAAATAGAGATACTGAGCGCCGCAGAGAGGGAAAAGAACGGGAGAGAGCACGGATATGAGCGAGAGCGGATCAAGATTATGACGTCAGATGTGAGAGGAAATCCTGGTGCTAAGTGGAACTCCGTGTGCAACACAATGCTAAGCGTCATTCTCCGGCAACTTCGTGCCGCGAGATCGGTATGGCCCGTTCTCGTGCTGAAGTCTATATTTCCAACGTTAGAGCTTCACCCACTGAATCAATCTGGAGTTGTGTCTTCACCATATTTGATGCAGAGCTTTGCCGTACGTTACAATGATATTTTTAATGTAAAAAACCATTTGACTCGCGATTTGGGCGGAATTCTCAATTAGCCGATAGATAGGATAAAAACGAATCTGTTGTTCTTGCATATCTGCCTCGTTACTATTACAACATTGTTACCTAACGAACACCGCTATCAATTTTGTATAATCTCATTTTCTTCGCTACTAGGTAACGTTTTCACTTCTAAACTAATCGATAACATATTGAAGATTTTTCGAATGTCCTTTAACATGTACATAATCTAATAGTATTACTAGCCATCTGTGTGAAGGGGAGAGAAGATCTGTCTTCATTATCACATATCATGATATAGAGGTATATGATATACATATATGTAAATGAATAATCGTGATCTTGAATTCTTGCCAGTGTTTTTTTTCTAATTTGTCGTTTAGAATGAATTCTTAAAAACATTTTTAAAATCATGTTCGGCTCTCAATGAACTTATAGAGGGTAGTTTAATAACTCTTGTTTAACCACAGACGAAGTTGTCATTCGAAACAATCATTGACTAACCTTTCACCGGTATCGCCTTCTCTGGAACATCCAACAACAGTCCCAGCAGGGTTCTTACCTTCGACACTAATGGGGTAAAACGATGCGCTAGCCCTAGTCAAGAACATAATGAAGTGTCACTGAACAAAAAACTCACCTTGGAAAGCCGCTAGAAAGGGAGCTGAACGCTTTCGAACGGTTTACGGACGATATTCGGCAACGCCCACTTACCAGCCGTTGAGATCGCGTGGAATGCGGGTCCTTGCGCGATTGCTTGTAAACTGTACCGCGTTTCGAAATTTGCGTTTCCCCTGTTTGAATGATGTCGCTTGCTAATCATTATTGTATTTCTTTATTGTACAGATGTGTTGCCTCTGTTTGTATTAGTGCATATGAGATTGCAGTCGTATTTCTTGGTGACACGAGTAAGGAACAAATGCCGGCAGAGCTAGCTAGTTCGGACAACTAGTCCGACACGCTTCTTCCTTCATTTCAAAAGGAGAAGAGAGTACTTA